CCCTCAGAGAGGGAGGGAATGGGGCAGGGGCAAATGGGGCTCCAGGACAGGTTATGGGATGCCCGGAACCCGGGTAGCTCGTCCGGGGTGTGGGGGGGCTCCCACCGCTGCATGCACCTCAGGAGAGGCCCAGGGGACACATGCCTCCCAGATCTGTGCATGGGGTAGAGGTGAACTGGGCTCTGTGCCCCACTATCCCTGCCCTGGGAGAGGCGCAACGCCATGCACCTGCCACTGCCATCTCCTGGAGCCAGCTTCCAGGGAAAGGGCAGCAGGGCAAAGAGCCCAGCCCACAGTGGGCAGTCCATCTCTGCCCCACACAGATCCAGGGAGGCACATGGTCCCTGAACCTCTCCAGAGGTGTGCGCAGCACCAGAACCCCCCCCACTGTGCCCCTGGACAAGCCACCCAGGCTCTGGGCATCCCATGACCCATCTCGGGGCCCACCTTGGGGCCCTACTCACCCCAGCCCCTGCTCCACTCCCTCCCTCCCTGTGGGGGCCTCAATTTGCCCCCCACCCCAACCCTTCCCCAACTTACGTGCTGTGGTGGACAGTGCTCTGCATGCCATCTGGCTCCATGCTGGCTATGTCTGTCTCTGCATGCCCCTCCCCCGCAGCCTCCCAGAGCCCACACCTGGGCTGCGCCATGGCCCTCTGCACTGCCCCACGTTCAAGGGGGATAAGCCCCATTAGCCCCAGCCTTCTGCTGCCTATGGTGGTGCGCCTGCCTGCTGCACATGCACAGGTACAGTGTCTTTTTTCATAGAATATTCACAGAATTACCAGGACCCAATAGCCAAGATCAATGGTAGTATTCTGAATATTCCGTGAAAAATTATACTCTACCCCAACATGTGCCACGAATTTTTGACAAGAAATCCATGATGTTCTTAGGGCCGTAACTAATATCTAATAATTTCACAGCAGTAACAAAGTAGCTGTGCAAACTAGAAAACAAGAGTTATTTATCTCAAACTGTTTCCTCAAAGGACCATAAGCACAAAAATGCCTAGACAGCTCTAAAATTTTTTTATCTTCACCTACTTCTCCACGAGCCAAGTAGAGGATTCCTCATTCATGGCAAACCACAAAAATGCCACAGAACTCCATGACTTTCCAGCCCGCTGGAAACAGACCTCCTGCTAGGTAGGGTGTCAGCAGTTTGGAAGATCTTTTGCTGCCACACAGAATACCCAAGTCCTACACAGAAAAGACAGGACTGGGGCCTCGACAGGGGTTGTGTGGCTGTTCCCCTGTGCCCTCTGATACTCAGTTAGGCTTCTCCTACTAACTAGGAAAATGTGTAGGTAGATCCTTGATCTTTCTGTCCCCGGCATTCTGTGTACTGGGTGAAGGCAGAAGCTGGGGAGCTCTTACCTGCAACTGGCTTAAGTTAGAAACATGAGTTCCACAGCACATGTTGTCATCTATATTCTCAATGCTCACAATTCGTACTGGCCCTGTATGGTCATCTGGTAAACCACGGGTTCTCACCTACCAAGAGAAGGAGAAAGGTATGCATAGCAACGAGAACTCTCTGGGACAAACAAGAGATGAGGCAGGACACTGCCTCTGCCCCACGCAGCTCTGGAATAGATTTCAGCTAGCAGCCTCCAGTGCCACTCACCATTTCCACCTCTGGGTCACCATCAGAGAACTCCTTCACCGTCACGGGAACATGGGCCCGTATCTTCTCATTCACATTCTCCTCTAGAGCCACCACTTGCTCCCTTGTCATTGAGGGCGTGTTCAGTTCTATGACACTTCGCTGACGGCCCAGCTCCCTGCAGGGACAGCAAACATCAATCATGCCTGCCCACAAACATAACAGAGATAAGCTGGAAGCTTCTTGTTCAGCACCAAGCGCCATGTAGAAGAATGATGCAGAAACTGAGTTTCAGTGCACTAAGCCCTTTCCTCTCACTTTGCACAGATTGCCCCCAGCTTGGCTGCCCATCGCAGGCCCTCTGTGGTGAATGGGATGGCTAGGGCTCAGCATAATGGCAGAAACAAACAAGCTTTGGGAGTGACATTAAAAGGAATTACTTCCCAGCTCACCATGAGGTGGTTTTGAATCCAAACATCAGATCTGCAATGGCAGTGATGAGGTGCTGCCCTGGAAAAGAAGCAAGCAACAGCTCTGAGTTTTACTGCATGCAGATGGTAAGGAATTCTATTAAAATGTGTGTTTCTTGCGTTATGGTCTCCTTGGCCTTTGCAAACACACAAGAGCATATGCGTGTGCAGAGGTCTGCTCACTGCCCAGAAGCACACACACAAGGCACAGCTCACCCAGTCAGCCCCAAGAACCACAGAATATGGCAGCTAGTTTGGAGGACCTCTGAGTCCATAAATATTATGCTTGCTTGTGACCCTCATTTGAAGGACATTCGCTATCCTTTACTATATTTATCATTCACATTCTTTACTATTCATTCCACCCAGGAAGAGCACGCACCAACTGCAGAGACTTCCTCAGCCGGACAAAGGCTTTTTTAAACCTGAAAGCTTGCTACATTTTTTTGCCAACTATTTAAGTTGGTCTAATAAAAGATATCAGATTCACCCAAAGAACTTTATTCGCTATCCTAATGTTTATGCAAACGAGCATTTGTTGTACCACAATGTCAATGGTTGTTTCTGCATGTTTATGCAACTGTGTATTTGCTGTGTCAACTGTGTCTTTCCTGTACCAACTGTGCGTATGTTGTATGACAAGTAATGACTTTTGTGTGTTGGATTGTTGGGGTTTTGTTGATATCTGTATGCTTTCTATAATAATACAAAAGAAAATGTCACTATCCTAAAACAGCTCCAAAAAGAACCATGCAGGGAACTCAGCAAACTGATCCCTCCTGCCAAAGGGGGCCAACCCCGTATGAAATGGATGCCGGGATATTCACAACCGTTCTGGGACCATGTTGGGCAGAACTGCTATTGCCGAGGCAGCTGAGGGGAGCACAGGGAATCCAGGTCTCTGAAATGCAGTGGACGGTTATAACCCTCTCGTGCCTGAGGGCTATTTGG